TCCCCCCCAAAAACACCAAATCTCTGACAAATATTGTAGTTGTAGCCACTCATATCATCCACCCTCTCTTCATTTTTCTTGTTGACATCTTCTGGTCTCCAGGACTCTCTTCTTTCTTCTTCTATGACTTGAGTATATGATTTTTGGCATTGCTTTCCACTCTATGCCATCATCCTCCATGGCCTTAACATTCATGTTCAAGATATTTCTAATACTGTGGAGTTACAGTTCCCTTTTCCTATCATCTCTCTTTCACTTTAGTCACTCAACTTCCTGCCCAGCTACCTCATTTCATCATGTAGTATTTCTCCAATTCTAAGATTTTGAGCTCTAACATTCCCCGTTCATGAGCACAATCTCCTTCCAATGCTCTCCAAATGTTATCCCCAGTGATGTTGCTTTGTCCTTCATCACAACTTTTTATCCTCAACACTTCCCTATTTGCTGCTTTGCTAGGTACCCCTGTGACCTTTCAACCATTTCCACGATGCATTTATCTCTAACCTTGAAACTCTCTGCCTCCTGATCTTCCTTGATTCCCTCAATGGACTTTTGAAGTAAATTCCTAAGCATCCTTATTACCTGCATTCTGCACCAACCATTCCCAAATCTATTCATCAGACCAGAGCCTACTTGATGTTCTTTCACAGTAGATCTGTTTGTAGCGATCCTTTGTTAAAACGCCATCAATGGCTCCCTATTGCCTAGAGGATAAGACCTCCTTTGAATGGCCTCCACTGCTCTCCTTTCCAATGTTACATCACTACTTCCCTCTCTGTACTCTACACTTTCAAAATCTGAATTGCTCATTGGCACCTGTACACATGCAGTGCTTTTCAGTCCCTGAGCCTATGCTCACAGTGTTCCATCTGGAGTATTCTCTCTCCCAATCGGCACCTGTTAAATTCCTAAATATTCTTTAATACTAAGATCAGATGCTGTCTCCTCCAGAAAGGCTTCCCAGGTGGGAATGCTATTTTCCCCTTTGATCTCACATAGGATTTTTCTTATAGCCTCTCTACTTTACTTAGTATGAATTATTCTGTCAAAGCTTTTTTTTTTCCCCTTTCCTTTATGTGCCCTCTTCCCTTTGACTAGGCTTTTGAGTTTTAATAGTGCAACAGGTTAATAAGTATGAATTAGCAATAAGGTGGTCAGAAAAAAAAATGTTACAAACATACCATTATAAGTGATTCCAAAAGCAATAAAGGGTCTCCACAGGTAAGAAAGTAAGGAAGTCAGCTAAAGAAGGAATGAGATGTCCTGGTAATTCTGGGGAAGTGGATAGAAAAGAGATGGCTAGCCTTTTGAAAAGATTATTTGACTCCATATTTACCAAGGAAAAGCTTGAGAACATGTCCATTCTCTAAATTAATTTTTATTTTTCTTATGGGAGTCAATTAGGGTTAAGTGACTTGCCCAGAGTTACACAGCTAATGAATGTTATGTGTCTGAGGCTGGATTTGAACTCAGGTCCTCCCGACTTCAGGGCCGGTGCTCTATCCACTGCACCATCTAGCAGCCCCACCTAAATTAATTTTTGAAGCACAGTTATCACACATGGAGACAACATTTAGTAGTGGATAGAGAGTTGGCCTATGAGCCAGAGATGTGGGTTCAAGCCTTGCCTTAGACACATGTTGGTTGTATGATTGTAGGCAGGTCATCTCCTTTCTCAATGCCCTAGGGAATTCTCTCAATGCCTTAGGCAAACTATAAATTGTAGAGCAGCTACTGACCTGTACTGCAGGGAGGATTTCTTGACCAGAAGCTCCCTATGCCAATGCAATTACAGGTCCACATTTTATCTCTATCTCAAAGCTTGAAAGGACCCAAGATATCATTTGATACAGTTTTAACAATTTATTTTAAAGATGAAGAAAATGAAATTCAGAAAAGTAAAATGACTTGCCAAAGCCACAGTTTGTGATGACAGACCTTGTTTTTATTTTTGTTTGTTTGTTTGTTTTTGTTTTGTAAGCAATAGAGGTTAAGTTCCTTGCCCAGGGTCACAGAGCTAGTAAATGTCTGAGGCTGGATCTGAACATTTTTAGGCCCACAGCTCTAGCCACTGCATCACCTACTTGCCCCCATGATGACAGACCTTAAACTTGAATCAGGTCTTCTGATTATAAGTATATTATTCTTCCTACTGTACCAAGTTTTCCTATTAATGCAAATACTATCTGATCTGTAGAATAGCCTTATACAGATTAATTAATTATATCCAGATAACTTTTTCAGACAAAAAGAATTCACTGAGAACTTTAAAGGAACAGATCAAACATAGCTGGGAAACTCTAGACAAAAGGACATTATCTAAAAGGATTACCAGAAACAGACCTAAAGGTCTCTATGGCTTTGGGACCCTTAAGATTAATATAACAACAGTGGATTGCCTGGATAACTCTCTTTCCAAGTGTATAATTCTCCCACAGACAGCAATGACCTTGGAGTCTCCTCAGGCAGAATACAAGAATCCAACCTTCAGCTCTCTCCTGACAACTTTTTCCTGGTGTCTAGACTGACTCACTGCCAACCTTAGGGAAAGAACAAGTCATCACAAAGAAGCCAATGAGTCAATATTATAAAGTGGACTTGGACCCACTGCAAAAAAAAAAAAATAGGGGTAGTTAGGTGGTGCAGTGGATAGAGCACCAGCCCTGAAGTCAGGAGGACCTGAGTTCAAAACCGGCCTCAGACCAAACACTTGACACTTACTAGCTGTGTGACCCTGGGTAAGTCATTTAACCCCAATTGCCTAAAAAGAAAAAAAAAAGAAAAAATATGAGATGCAAGACTAAGAGGAAAATGGGCAGACAGAAACATTTCATTTCCTTGCCTTCCATGAGTTACTTCTGGCAAGTACGAACTATTGTTCTGGTCCAGCCACGTAGTTCAATCAAGTGGTTAGGAATAGATTAGGAGTGGGGCACCTGCCTTGACTCTTTATTTGCCAATAACGCTTGACCAAAATGTCTAACCTTCCATCACAAATAGCTTCTGTTCATAAGAAATTTCCCAGAGAAGACCTGGGTCTTCTGTAAGTCTCAAGTTCATACTAGACAAAACAATAGGTTCTATAAAAAAAAAATAAGATGGTCACTCTCAGGCTAGAGCAGCAAGGGGTTATTGATAATCAGGATCCACCAGGGGTCTATCAAATACCAAAGTTTGGGGAAGACAGACCATGAGCCAGGTTGGGAATTTGTGAACGATGTAGCAGCTACCTTGATGCTATCTATTTTAAGTCAGCCCCTGACAAAACCATCTGCTTTACTTTGAAGGAGGAGTGGTGATTATTAAGAACTAAAATGGACTCATCAGGAACAAGTCATGGGGCAGCTAGGTGGCACAGTGGATAGAGCACTGGCCCTGGAGTCAGGAGAACCTGAGTTCAAATTCAGTCCCAGAAACATAACACTTACTAGCTATGTGATCCTGGGCAAGTCATTTAACCCTGTTGCCTAGCCAAAAAAGAAAAAAAAAACAAACAAGTCATGGATTAAGCTCATTTCTTCTTCGGCAGTTATTAGGCTTGGAGAATAAGGCAATATAATATGTCTGGATTTCAGCAAGGCTTTTTTTTTGTTTGTGTTCTTGAAGAAAACATCTTACAATTATCTTGCAGACAGAACAGGAAAATGTGGATTGCATGATAGACTTTTGAGCTAGAGGGTATCTTAGACATCACCTAATCTATATACTTAATTTTATGCATAAGGATATTGAGGCCCAGAGTTAGATTTGTTTGAAACTAGTTGAATTGTTAGTTCAAATATATGGTAATTCATGGATTGAAATCAACCTGGAGGCAGTTTGTAGTGAAGTAAGCCAAGAAGCTGTTAGAAAGGGCACTCTTTCCACTGACAAAGTTCCTAAACTCTGCACACTTTTATGAGTTTCTGTATCTACAGCAAGTCAGCCTCCACTGGCCAAACTTCTCATGATAAACCTCTCTGATAATAGCTAGGCTGGTCCTTAAGTGACAAATAGACAGTCGGTCAGTCTATACTAAAGGTCTTTCCAGATTATTAGGACCTAACAGACCTTGTGTTCCATTGAGATATTCTTTAAGAAACCAATGTCACCTCTAGACCTTACCATAGTGAGGCACTGAAGTAGTTCCTAAGTGAAGAATGAAGCCAAAAAATGTCAATAAAATGTTAGACATCATTAAGGGAGCCATCCTTTAAAACAATGATAGAATACAAGTAACTTCAGAAGAAAAATATTTTGGCAGTACCTTATAGAAGATCTTGAACAGAAAGAAACTGGACACGGGTTAGCTAGACTATTTTGGCAATCCACATATTATGGAAATGGAGCAAAAAGGTTAAGTGCGTTGTGAAAAAATAAAGATGATTTGGTAACTGGTAGTAGTGGGTATATATGGGAACAGGAGGAGAAGGAAGAATGAAGATTCACAATAAATACTCCATTTATAAGGAATGGTGGCACAGGTGACCAGTACAAGTTTGGGGAAAATCACTGGTTGTATGAGTAGTAGTCATATTACTTCATTCATCAGCAGGGCATTAAAGTAGACTTGTCCTGTTATGTAGGGATCCAGGACCAGAGAAAGGATAATAATAATAATAATAATAATAATGATAATAATAATAATAATAATAATGATAATAATAATGATAATAATAATAATAATAATAATAATAATAATAGCAGCTAGCATTTATATAACAATCTAATGAGGGTTGAAGGTGGGACTCAAACCCTAGTCTTTGGATTGCAACTCCATTGCTCTTTCCACCAAAGTAAACAGGCTACCTCTTCTTTATTTCCCAGCTGTCTTTGCAGCAGACAGTAGGATGAGTGATAACAACACAGGAATTCTGGAATTGAGACTGCTTGGGTTTCCTGGCTCCCAAGATTTCCACCACTTTCTCTTTTTCGTATTCTTTCTCCTATATATGGTAATACTAATCTGGAATTCACTCATCATTATTATGGTGTGTACGAACTGTCATCTGCACTCCCCCATGTATTTCTTTCTCAGTAACCTCTCTGCTATGGAGATTTTTATCACATCGGTTGTTATTCCCACTGTGCTCGAAGGGTTGTTGACCACCCAGATTCAAACAATGTCCTTTGGCGCATGTATGGCTCAACTCTACCTTTTTCTTTCTGTGGGGACTTCAGAGTTTGTGTTGTTGGCAGTAATGGCTGTAGACCGATATGTAGCTATCTGCAGTCCCCTGAGGTACAGTCTCATCATGAACCACTGTGTCTGCCTCTGGATGGCCATCACATGCTGGGTATTTGGGTTTCTATTCCAAATCTGGCCAATTATTGCAACGTATCATCTTTACTTCTGTGGGCCAAATGTCCTGAATCATTTTTACTGTGAGAGAGGCCAGCTGCTCAGACTCACTTGTGGTGACAGCAGATTACAGCAGTTCATCCTCTTCCTGATGGCAGCTTTCATTCTTTTTGGCACTTTGCTTCAACCATTATCTCCTACATCTACATCATCTGTACCATCCTGAGGATCCCTTCTGTTTCTGGCCAAAAGAAGGCCTTCTCCACCTGTGCCTCCCACTTCACTGTGGTGGTGATAGGCTATGGCACCTGCTTGTTTTTCTATGTGAAGCCCAAGCAGACCCAGGCAGCTGAGTATAACAAGATGATTTCCCTGATGACATCAGTGGTAACTCCATTGCTGAACCCTTTCATCTTCACTCTGAGGAATGACCAAGTCAAAGAGGTTCTCAATGATGGTGTAAAACAATTAAGTCATTTCTTAAAGAAGTAGGTGTTTTCAAAGCAGGATCCTGAGGCAATAAGTCACATTGGAATAACCATTAACACTGAAAAAAAAAAAGAGTCTCCAAACAAGTAACCCTCCCCACAGAGCCAAAATATATAAAACTATATAAAATGTCATTAATTGCCTATTGTTAATATTTGACTGAAGTAGCACATTACGGATCTGTCTCTGTTATTGCTGTTTTCTTTTGTGTATTAGATTACAATACACTTTTTATTTAATCTTTTTTTTCCTTAACAAATAGCATGGTACAGTGGGGGGGGGGGAAGAAGACACTGGATTTGGAGGCTGAGCAGCTATATTCCAAGCACAACTCTGTCACTTACTACCCGTCTGGGTTTTGGCCAATGACAACCTCTAAGGGCCTCAGTTTCCTCATCTGTAAAATGGAAAGGTTTTTTTTTTCCCCTAGCTCTAAATCTAACACGTTCTTCAATGAAGACTTGACCATTCCAGAGACAGTGTAGAGAAATGGAACAAGTACTGAATTTGGACACTTGGGACAAGTCATTTACTCTCTCTCAGCTTGGTCTGCTCCTTTTATGAAATGTTGGTAAAATAAGCCCTATATCCCTCATAGGGTTCCTTGTACATATTTTTGGGGTACTAGACCTATGATTTCATTGGTATTGGGAATTCCCAGTGAGGAAAGTCCTTCCACCAATGAAGATGACACCTATTCTTAAACTAAAGAATTTCTTGAAGAACTAAATGCTTCCCAGGGTCACAAAGACAGTACATGTAAGAGACAGGATTTGAACTCAGATGTTTATTAATTCTAAGATCAGCTCTCTATGTCAAACCACCTCTTTACATATAGCAGACATTTAAAACTTGTGTTTAATTTAATGTAGATAAAATATTTTATAACTTACAATGACACTTAAAAGGTAAGTAGTTATTCCAAGCTAAGGTAGAAAGTGTGGCGAATGGATCTCTATGTCTATTCTTGGTTACCTATATTGTCAAGCTCTTGTTGCTTATTATTTGAACTAATACTGCTGAAGATCTTGAGGCTATCACTTTGGAAATAGAGTCTGATTTTCAGGGGTCAGAATAATGCCTCAAGTCAGAACCAGGGAGGTGAACCAGAATGAGAAACTGCTCAGAGTGGGGATCCTGGTAGACAGCAGAATAGTCAAGTAGAGGGACAATAATGGTAATAACTGTTGTCCAAAGTGTTTTTGCTGGTTATAAAATCCTTTGTATATTTTATTTTATCTGATCTTCCTAAATTTGTGAAATAGGTAGCACAGATATCAGTAGTTTGATTTTATAGAAGAGGAAACTGAAGTGTCAAAACCTTAAGTGAATGGTCCAGGGTCATACACTTGGTAAATGGCAGAACCGGGATTTTAATCCAGGTCCTCTGATTCCGAGTCCAGTCCTCTTTCCACCGTTTTACGACTGTGAGGAAGACATATGTCAGTTATAAGGCAAAGCAAGGTAGGAGGTAGAAAAACCGGTAAGCAGTTTGGAGCCAGGAAAACTACAGGAACTGAAAGAGCAAGGCAAAACAAGTAGGAAAGAATGTGAGCCTTGAAGTGCCACCAATAAAGGTGGGTTTTGGCAACTTGGGAAAAAGGTCACCTCAGTCAGAGCTCACTTGTATTTCCTTGTAGGGAGGTAGCCAACCCACAAGTAAGGAAGTATAGGACTTAGAGAGGAGGTAAGAAGAAGAACTTGGCCAGAGTGGGGAATTAGAGGGCCAAGGAGCTAGGAGTCGGGAAACTCGGATTCCAAAACTAGTTGTCTCATTAACTAACAGAATGATCTTGGATATCACTTCTTGGACAAGATACTCCATATCTAACTTGTTTCATATATAATCCTGTTAATAAAAACTAGCATTTGTTGTAAGGTTTAAAATACATCTTATTTGAGTCTCATAGCAACCCTGGGAGCTAGGTGCTATTCTTACCATCATTTTATGGATGAGTAAATTGAGGCTAAGAGAAGTTAAGTGACTTGGCCAGGGTCACCAAGCTAGTGAAAATCTGAAGCTGGATTTGAATTCAAGGCTTGATGACTCCAAGTCCAGCACTCTTGTTCAGGACCTGTCCAGGATTACACAATTGGTAAATGGTTAAAACAGGAATTTGACCCACAGTGCACCTAGCAGACCCTCTAGAATGTCCACCCCTAAGGACTTTATTCTGACCTTTAATTAAAGCAATAGAAGCATTGTTGATTTAATGACAACCTCTTGAATTGTCCCAGCTACTTCTGGGTTATTTTTGGCATCCATCCCCTGGTTTCCAATGTGGGTTTTCCCTCTATTCACTCTCTGATTTCCAGTTTTTATCGCCAACTGCCTACTTGAAACTTGATTGGAGCCCTGGATCCCAATGCTAATTCGCTGACCTCTTCTTGTCTCAGACTTAGTCTTGTTTTATGACACAAATCAACAAACTGGAGAGAGATTAAACCAACTATCAATACCACTGCATACCTTTGATGTCAGATCTGACATCAAAAGTAGAGATCAAAGCTGAGTCAAATTAGCTGTAGTGCCAACATATGAGGACTCAGATCACTGTTATACCAACATGACACCTTTGTTCTTTGGAGATGGCATCAATGCAGACCCTTTGGTGCAGCCTAGAAAGGCAGACTAATAATTGGACTGAGCAAGCACCTATTTGGCTGCTACTATGTCATTGTGGGAAGGAAGCAATTGAAGGTAAGACATGTGCATGGAAATCAGAAAACTATACAAGACAAATACATATTGAAATTGTACAAGATAAATGTGCTTTCATAAATTGTGTGATACAGAAAATAAATGTTGAACTCAAAATCTTGTGGAAGTGAATGTTGAAAACTAAAAAATTAATTTTAAAAATTTTTTTAAAAGAAAATAAATGTTAGTGAACAAGACTGATAATAAAGCTCAACTGGATGAAATTATTCAGGAAAAGTTTCATGGAGGACAAGAAAGTTTGAGATGAGGCTGGAAGAAAGAGTTAGAAGTGAAAAGAGAGAGGGATAAGGGGAAAAGGAAGAACTCTAACTAAGGTCAGATAACCAGGGTATTGTCCAGGGCACTGACATCTTGGGGGCATGGCCTCCACAGAGTAGTGGTTCTTCCAGCTGTCCCCATATTCCATGATCCTCCACTGGCCTCTTTTTGCTTTCAAAGGCACTGGCACACCATGGTTTGAGTTCTCTTGCCATGACATATTGACCATGTCCCAGTGTTGTGTCCTTTACATGCATTGTCTTTTCCTTCAACTTTTCCCAGGGAATTTTATGTGTGTGAGATAGAGGGAGCAGAGCAGTCAGGAGCTGAAGATCATCAGTCATGTCACTGGCGTATAGAGTCTGTGATATGGGCTGCCCTTTTTACTACCACAACTGTATTTGGCCTGTCCTGTGACATGTCATTGCTGGGCCTACGAACCAGTGACTTGACTTTCACAGGAGATAGTTGGAATTACCATTGATGTCAGTGTATGCTGGCTAAGATAAGATCCCAAGACTTTTCTATACTTTAAGTATAATAAATCTGGAAAAGTAGGCTAGACTCTTTTAATACTTGTTGCAAAGAACTGGAAACTAAGGGGGTACTCATCAATTAAAGAATGGCTAAACAAATTATGGTATATAAATGTAATGGAATACTATTGTACCATAAGAAATTATGAAAAGGACAATTTCAGAGAAGCCTGGGAAGACTTGTAACTAATGCAGAGTGAAGTAAACAGGTACAGGAGAACAATTTATACAAGAGAACAATTTATACAATAGCAACAACATTTAAAAACAAACAACTTTGAAATATTTGCACACTCTAATCAGTGCAATGACCAGCTATGATTCCAGAGGACTAATGCTATCAGTTTCCTGCCAGAGATGTGATGGTGCAGATTAAGGCGCATATTTTTTCAACATGGGCATTGTAGAATTTTTTTGCTTGCCTATGCATATTTGTTATAAGGGCTTTAATTTTCTTTTTCTTTTTTTTTTTTCATTGGGGAAGATGGGAAATAGAGAAAATGGATTTTTTTCCTTAAAAGTTTTAATGAAAAAAAAGAAAGAAACGTAGATTAGAGGCAGAATGTGAAGGGCTTTAAATGCCAAAGAAAGGAACTTATATTTTTTTCCCAGAGGCAATAGGGAGATATAATAATGTAACCGTAAATATAATGCAAAATTTACGGAAGATAATAGTCCAATTTGGCTGGGACATAGTAATAGGAAATAAGATATGTAGGAAGATATGTAGGAAGAAGATTGCAGAGGACCTTACACGTTAGACTGAGGAGTTTCTACTTGTCTCCTTGAGTCAATAGTCACTGAGGATTTTTGAGCATTGTAGTAACATGGCCAGACCTGTGACGAGCTTCGGGAAGGAAAGACATTGGACAGGAGAAACAGGAAGCATCAATTAGGAGGGGGTTAAAATAAATAGTTCTGTCAGGAAGTGATAGGAACCTGACTTAGAATAGTGGTCATGAATGTAATGAAAAGGATGCATTTTAAGGAAAATGCATCTTAGGGCTTTCCAGTTCATAAGGAATAAGAGAAAACTAGATTATAGAAGAAATCATGGAGCAGCTAGGTGGCACCATAGTGTATCGAGTGGCAGGCCTGAAGTCAGGAAGACTCATCTGCCTGAGTTTCAAATTTGTCCTCAGACATTTACTAGCTGTGTGACTCTGGGCAAGTCATTTAACCCAGTTTGCCTCAGTTTCCTCATCTATAAAAATGAGCTGGAGAAGAAAAAAGTAAATCACTCCAGTATCTTTACCAAGAAAATCCCAAATGGAGTCACAAAGAGTCAGACACAACTGAAAAATGACTGTTTTTTTTTTGATTGTTATAGTAAAACAAAAAAAGGGTGGATGCTTTCTTGGAATAAGCATAAATACAAAAGAGATACATGGGTAGTACCCATTTTCTTTTTTATTTATAATTTTCATTTTTGGTTCCAAATTCTCCTTCTTCACCCCAAAAGAAGGCAATAAATGTTATACCCATTA